GTTTTCCCTCCTAGTTCTGGTGGCTCTGGTGGCTCTGATGGTCCTGGTGGGCCTGGTGGCCCTGGTGCTGGCCCTGGTACTGCCAACTCCCCTCTGGAAACCAATGTTCCAACCATGGAAAGTTCTGCACTGCTTGGCACCGAGATGCCCACTGTTACTCCTCCAGGTTGCAATGGCACACCACATGAGACTCTTTGGAACCTGACCACCCCAACTGATGCAGGCTGGAGTGATGGAGACACCTTTTGTGAGGACCTACTTGGGGTCGCTTGCTTTGAAGGAGATGGGTTCCAAACCTTCAATAGCTTCCAGGGATTGACGTCTCAATGGTTCCAAGCGGAAGCGACCAGTGGTTCTCGCTGCCTCAGCGATATCACGCATCGTGTAACCTTGGAAGTGCCGGAAGAGGTCAACTATGACTTGAAGGTGTATAAAGGAACGCAGGAGAACTTGTATGATTCCTCAACTCATGCTGGAGGAATGGTGGATGATGTTACCATTTCTTCGAGGAATGTTGGATATTCCTACTTTGTGCTTGTTGAATTCGTAGGAGGGACATCCTGTCAACCATGGACTCTTACATTCGAGCACTTCTCGTGCTAAGCAAGTACTTTGGAAAGCTCCTGGACGACCGAGATCATGAAAAGCTCGAAGCCCCACTTTAGTATTCCGCCTCATTAGCTTCCTCTCAGGTTATCCAGCGGCAGTGCATTATTTCTACTATGTAGCTCTAATACAACCTTGATGTCCTCAACTCTGCTAGTTAGCGCCTATGGCGTGGCCATCGAAGCCTTGGGTCCTGAATGCGCGTTTGGAACGGCCGATTCATTCATTGTAAACAAAGTTGAGGCTTTTATTGGGGTAGCATTATCCATTATTTACCCCAATCCCTCGACCTAAAGATACTTTCCTTTGCTTTGGATCCACGCAGGCAACCTTGTAGCGGTCGCTCCAACCATCAGTTTCTCTGACTTCAGCCAAACGATATTAATTGGAGCAGCAATGATCCAAGTGATAGACTCTTCGGACACTCCTTGTACTCCCATTCATGAGCCTCAGAACGATCAGCATGAGGATGATGAGGATGAGCAAGAGCTTGGGCCCGTCGACGAACGAGTGGAAGCGGCACTGACTGCCTTGGTCAAGCACTACAGCGACCCCATCCATGCTACCCCTAGAAATGTCCTATCTTCTTCCAACCTTGTGATTCCACCGGTAGTGGCGCATTGGGTGAACGAATTATCCCAAGGAAAAGACATCAATATCCTGATAAGACAGCTGATAGAAGGATACCCCAGTCATATACGACCAGTTCTATTGCAGCAAAATGCTGCCAATCACATTTTCGTGGAGCCTACGGGGATTCCAGTGTTGCAGCATTATCTGCTACTGATACAACAGTTACGGCACCATTGGCACAGCAAAGCGGATAATGACAACGAGAATAATAATGACAATTCGCTACGACTTGCCAACAACAGTCTTTTGGAAATATCCCCCATCTCGCAGGATGCTACCCACAACAAGAGCAACAATGAAGCACCTGCTTTTGCAGCTGCCTTGTCCGCCATGGCTACGGATGTGAGTACGTGCACCAAAATTTGCGTCACACTGGGGGAACAAGAAAAAGAGGAGGAAGAAAAAGGAGAGGTATCCTGCCATACGGTAGCAAATACGGTTCTTCCTACTCTGATTCAAATCATGACAGTGTCATTGGACTGCATCAACAATCCCCTACTAGACGATCCCACGACTTTGTTGAAATGCGCCATTGCCCTGTTGGCCTTTGGAACCAATCCACGCTTGGATCCACGCAATGTGGTGCCATCTCTGGAAAGTATTCTCATGGTGCATCGACCACATCCTGCGTTTTTGTACACGCCCATTCCAGCACTTCAAACCGATACTGTATCGTCATCAAAGGATGATGAGTATTTCAATTTGGGATTCCATTGGACCGAGGACAACTTTTGGAATCAGCTCCAACTCGATGGACGGCCTTGGACGACAAGTCGTCAAACACAAGACGACATTTTAGAAGAGTTTTGGAAACAGCTGCACAAACGTTTGCTACCACAAATGATGGACCGTAACAATCCGCAATCTTCTCTGCTACTAATAGAGGAAGTGGGGAATCCCAATACAGACGACGACAAGTCGTCTTCCCAAATCATGCGAGAATGCCTCCAGGCGCTCGGTCCCACCAAAGTGGCCAAGGCGGTGCGGGCACACTTTTTTGCCAGAGACGTGACACCCTTATTATTGGCCCAAGACAAACTGATTGACACCAGACACTACAACAAAAAGACCAAACTCATGCTGGGATGGGAGGTTCCTGTCCAACAAAAAGACGAAACCTTGCCCGACCGAAAACCCTACCAAGACATTCCCTCCCGTGTGCATGTGGTCATGCACTACATTCTCCTACTTGATGAAAACACAGTGGTGAAGGATTCAGTGTTGGAGGAAATACTTCCCATCATTTACGAATTGCTCGGAGCATTTCAAACGTACTATGTCGGCATGGGGGCTGCCGCCTTGATACATCTCGTAATGATCACAGCAAATACAACAAAAATGACTCCACCACCCAAGAACACGTCCCTCGCGCTGCTTTCTGTGGAGGATACTACAACAACGACAACCACAACCGATTCCTTTCTCTTTGCCAAGTACGCGGGAAGCTTATTGCCCGTACTCGACTTGGCCTGTCAAACTTGTCGCGAAGGACCGCCCTTTTGCCTCCTGGCACGAGCCCAAAGTTTGTTGTGCGAAGCAGCGGCAGGAGATCGCCCAGTCTTTGTCAAACATCGACGTCAAGTCACGCGCTACTTTCTGACGTTGCTCGACAAGTACCGCCATAAAGTATCCGATCCCGACGGATTGCTCTGGGGACTCCTCGTGGGAGGCATTATTCCACTCTTGCAGCAGCATGCGACGCTGCCCGAATGCACGACATCGATCGATGCCCTCGAAGTGGGACGTTTGGGGTTGCAGGCATTGCTGCCCATTGTACGATTCAGTGCCGGGTATCGAGTCGATAATGACAGCACGATGACGAACGACGACAAACTCAACGAAACGCGAAAACTACTGGGTCCATCCGTCTTGGCATTGACTCACTTGATGCAGGCGGCTTACCCAATAATGCCACGGCATGGAGGGAAAATCATGAGTGAATTGTTGGGCTTACTGGGGAATTTACAACCACAAGTCACCACGACGGAACAGGATGGCCGGCTATTGGAGCTCGTGAAGGATGCCGCGGGAATGGCACTGGTAATTTGTGGGGAACGAGCGGAACAGGTATTGGAGCATGTCACAACTAAGGACTATCAACCGGGGTTGGTGGAGTTGGCATGTGAGATACCAGTTAGGGCGGACAAATGGCGGCATGCCCAGCAAAAAGATGGAACAGAATGCATGTAGAAGGGATTGGTGGGGGCAACCATATTGGGACTGCCCCAAGAGGTGTACTTGACCACAGAAGACGAACCCGTGCAACGAGATTGAGTGCTGGGCATGTTTTATTATGAATATATGCATGGAAGTTATAGTTCGCTTCTTCCTTCTAACTATGCAAAACAAATTCTTTGAGGTTTCGTCCCAAGCTGAACAGTCTCCGATCACTTGGATTTCACCAACGGCACTCCAGAACTGCCACCTTTCTCTACTTGTACATGTCGAGCCATACTCCCGCCCTCGTCTCGACCTTTTGCTGGATTTCAGTGATCGTCACGTTCCAGCCATCCATGCATGCTCTCTCATAATTTCGCTGCCACGCAAGCGGAAATTATGTGACAAAAGACCCGTCCATGCCATGAATTGGGATCGTTATCGCCGCCTGACTATCCAATCTACCGGGCCAACCAGCCCCAGTCAACGTCACAGGGACTTTTATCCGTGTCAACGTTGTAGCCGAGCTCACTGAGCACAAAGTTGGCGCTGCGTTGCCCTGCGAACATGGCTCCATGGACGGTTTCGGATTGATCAAAGCACGTGTGGGATCCAGAAAAATGCAAAATCCATTCTTGCAGTGAATTGCATCCGTTGTGCTCACAATAAGCCGTCAACGAGTCTATGCCTCCATAAAACTGACCAAATTGAGTGAATGTGTAGCCAATCTCCCAACTGGAATAGGCACCAAATCCAAAGCTCGTGTCTGTGTGCACATTGTTGACATACGTGGCAATGGGAGTTCCCACGACGTCGGCGCCATACACCAATCGCAGTGGGTCCAGCAACGAATCGATTGTCGACTCGGGTAAATTTCGTTGTCCGCCCTGTTGAAGGAGCTCTTCAAATGCTTCTGTCATGAGCTCACAACTGGTGAAATTCGCACAGGAGGTGCCAAGGAAAGCAATGGCAAGCAAATGATTCAGTCAGCAAAAACGTGGAATCAAAAAAACTCTTCCACATTGGTCCATCCCGAAAAACGTACCGAATAATATTACTGCCCGGCATGAAATAGTTCATGTTTTGCCAATGATTACAGTGGCCCCGTTGACCCGCTTCTCGTAGAACCCGAATGAACTCGATATCATCCCAGAACTGATTTTCAAACTGGTACGTGACTTTGATGTATTGGGCCATTTTCATGGGATTGTGGCTTTCCGCAGGGAATCGCAGAGGTGGCTGAAACTGGATCAATCCCGCATTCAACACACCCGCGCTCACGGTGGAGATAACTCTCTGTGCCACATAATCCGTACACTGCGCACCATTGTTGGTATGGACTCGTGCCTTGTAGGTTTTGCCTCCTTGGGAGGGGATATTTTCATCATAGGCAACCGACAAGGCTCTTGTGCCGGTCCGCAAACTGGTCGTATTGGCATTTTGTTGCAAGTAGGTTTGCAGCAAAAATTCAAATCCCCTTGGATCGGCTACAATGAGAGATTCGTAGGCAGCCGTGGGGAAAAAGCGGAGGCTGACCTCGGAAGTGGCCCATTCCCAATCCAACCAAGCCCACTGAATATCATGGTCCAAGTTGTTCATGACGGTATTTTCAGGTCCCACAAACCACCCGTTCTGTTGCAACAATCCAATGACACCAACATCGGTGTAAAAGTCATGTGCCGGTGTCCACAAATTTTCATCCACCTCGGCAATGGCATCCTCCAATGCCGTCCTGAACCGTTCCTCTTCTGCCGTATAGAGCGTCTCGTCCACGAGGAGTCCCTGGAAAATCAAAAAGCGTATGCAAAGAAAGGCACATGAGTATTGGGGATAAATCCAAGGACAGATAGATTATGCATACGAGGGCGGCTCAGAGGCCTCAAAAACGGGACAACGGAGAAAACCTCAAAGAGGCTGCTCAGGACAGCATTATTTTCCCAACAGCAATTAATACCAGCAAACAGCAATGCCAGCAATTTTCACCCTGGACCCAAGTCCTGGCTAGAAAACCAAAAAACCTTGCTGGTGCAAAGCAAAGCAAAGCAAACCAAAGCAAACCAAACAAGCAAACCAAACAAGCACCCGTGCTAAAAACTGTCATGAGCTAAAACCCCAGCTTGGAATGGGATTCCATTCCAGCAGAAGCATGATGACAAAAAGAAAACTGCCATTATTGCTTTCCCAAGCAGAACAAGAAATGGTGCTGAAAGCATCTCCACACAAAATCAGACATGGCCACCATTTCCAAAGCAGAACAAGACACAATCGTGTTGCTGGAAGGGTCGCCAAAAATCAGACAAAACAGTGCAGAAAAACTTGCTGACAAAAGGAGCTCTCCAGCATTTTTTTTTTTTTGGCCCAACAAAAGCCAACATGATATGATGCTCCTTTTGTGTCTGTCAGTTTTTGTGTGCGCATTTTGTCACTTACATCAGTTCCATAGGCAATAAAGGAAGCATAATCATTGTAGGGTGCCGCAAATCCAGTATCTTCCATAACAGTCAAAAGCGGATTATCCTTGATATTGCCATAGATCCAATTGGCGCCATCTTCCAATGTCCACGTATTGCCAGGCACGCCAAATTGGACACTCCGCACACGTCCACCCACCCGTTCGGTGGATTCCAAAATGCGATAGGTCAATGTGGGATCTTCTTCTTGCAACCGAGCGGCGGCGGCAATTCCAGCCGCTCCGGCACCAATAATGACCACATCGGCATATTCGACAGTGGCGCATTCGGTGGAGAGTTGTGGTTGGGCGAACGATCCACCGGCGCCACCGGGAGGTACAAATGTTCCATCGGCGGCCAAACTGCCAGGAGGAGCTCCTGCCGCGCCACCGGGGGGAATGTATTCGGGTGTTTCTTCTTCGTCGACTTCAGGTGATATCTCTGGAATTTCAATATTGTTGTTGTCATTGATGTCATTGATGTTGTTCATGTTGTTATCCATATTATTGCCACCTTGAGCCCGACGACCATGATGATGAGCAGCAAGGGAAGATCCACGAACTTTGGCGGCATCGGAGAGAGACACGGCGGTGGTCATTATCAGGACCAGGAGGATGGAAACACGGGAAGAAACAGAAATCATCTTTTTGAAAGCCAACACAAACCAAAACAGGAGAAACACAAACACACAAAAAGGCAGCCACACAGAAAAACAAACAAACACAGTTGTGATATTAAAATTTGTTGACGCAAAAAATAATAAAGAATGATGAGTGGCTCCAGAAGAAGATTGATTCGCTTCCAATCAATCAATAGCGAGACACCACCTCACCGAACAAACGTTTTTTCCCAGGATCACTGATGAAGGCCCAGAGGAACTTTCCTGATCATTGGATTGCCAAAGCAGTAATGTAGCTAGCTCTCTACACTCTTCCTACTGTCCCAGATAGATAGAGATAAGCACTAACGTGAAGTGCATCCTAAAAGATCCCTCGCTTTTATTAGTTTGCCAATGACGTTCAAAGAAGAAAAAATGTGAGGTACAATTACGGGTGCAACTACTCATAGACTCGTCCAGGAGCGCCTGAAAACGGGACTCGCGAGCACCTCTTCCGCGAATCCGCGACTCGCGCGCGGCCGCGGCGCGAATCCGCGAGCGCGGCCGCGAATAACCGCGAATAACCGTGAAAATCCGCGAGATTTAGGATGCCACTTTTAAAAGATATAGAGGAGTTGGTTCTTAAATCTCGCGGATTCTCGCGGTTATTCGCGGTTATTCGCGGATCGGCGGATCGTTTCGTGGATCGCGGATTCGTGGAAAACCGTTAAATCCGCGGATCGTGCCACGATTCGCGGATTATCAGCCGCTCCAGTGGCCAAATTTTGGCGTTCCGAAAATCCCATTCGTGGATACTGTATTGTAACGGTACAGTACCACCGGTACCATTGCAGGTCACTAATCTACAATGCCGATAGTTTGCCTTTCGCCTTATGGTGGTACGAAGGGGGTTTAGAGTAGGTAGATTATCTAAGGAAGACAGCCGGGGACAGGCTTCAGCAAGGAAGAGTCGAAATTCAGGACTAGGTTCCGTGGGATTTGGGTCCAGAAATTGAGGACCATTAGCAACGGGGACCACGTGAAGCAGTCCTAGATGATACAGTACTGCAGATGGCATTGGCAAGGGATCCCGCCATCCCCTCAGCCAACACACGAGAGGAAGAGTTGCAGGCATGCAATGGTAACACTGTGGAGTACCGTACCGGTAAGCCTTAGTGATCAACGCATCTCTGTCACGGCCGGTAACCTATTGTTCTGCGACAGTCGAGTCAGGAGTATGCATCCTCCAGCTGGACACGCTGCCTTTATTCGACTGTGGCGGTTCCTGTAATGTAGAGGCAGAAGCGACCATCATCATACTTTAGCACGCACTACGATCGTTACTAACTAACTAACTAACTAGCTACTAGCTATCATAGAGGTGAGACCGAGATATCCACTACTTTGTCTTGTTCGTAACGACTTCTGGGAGCGGGGTACAGTAGCGGTGAAGATTAGGACCCCCCAGTTGAAGATCCCCCCCTAAAGTAACTACAGCAACTGTCAAAATTTCCACGTGCGGATTGGCATGCATGTATACCTTGCACCCCTGTGACAACCACTCTGGCAACCGGTATTGCTGCTTTTGTACCAACATGTTCGCAGAGATGAAATTGGATTTTATACACTGCTGACCGATGACTTCAGCAACGTCAATGCTACAGTTGAAGCCTCGGAAGATTTCTTCTTCATTCGTCAGAGTAGTGGTGAGCTTGCTGACGATTGCAGAGCTCGGCTTGGACGGCTTACACGTGCGGTGCCAACCGTCCATCCAATCAGGAACGTCAATTCGAATACTGTAGTCCACAACCTACCAGGTAATGGCCGGAAATCACGATTTTATGAATCGAATCCAACCAAATTGATCAATTCGAAACCAAACTTTTTAATCAACACCTAAATATAAAATCGAAAACTAAATATAAAATCGAAACGAAATTACTATAGTAATTTAAGTAGTAAAATCAATTCGAAACCAAAATATAAAACCGAAACCTAAATATAACATCGAAACACAAGTATAAATCGGAATTTGGTGTAAATCGCCATTTCGGGCCCTTTCGTGGAAAAATGGAATCGAATCAAACGTTGCAAAACTCCGACTGAGTCGAGTCGAGTCTCAGTCGGTCGAGTCGAGTCCTGCATGCAATCGTCGCAGAACCATCCGTGCCAAAGCTACTATGGTATCACCATGGCAGGTACCGGTACAGTAATAGCAAGCACAAACACAACAACAAGAAACAGGAACCCCAACAACGAGCCCGACCATTACGTGCTGCCGCCACTGATCCTCCTCCTACTAACTAAACCTCCTCCCGCTGACTAAGCATGCATTCCGAAACCACCAAACAGAGCGATGAGCAGATGCAGAAGCTGGATATGCTGGGAGTCAGCGTCTTTCATTTGGAGCATCTTTTTCTACAAGAAGTCTGTACCTCAACAGGAAATCCACTATCTAGAGACTCCAAAATCCATGAAATTGAGAATCTACGAGGTCCTCCTGGAGTCATCCGAAACAAAGGAACCAACACTGTCTGTCCAATCGATGGAAAGGAGGGTGCTGCCTATGTCCATTGCCTCCAAGGAGAGGACCATGTTGGAGAGGCAACTCAAATGCTCAGCTATTCTTGGAATTACACGATTGGAGATATTGTCGATACCCTTTCTGACTATTGCCTACAGAACAAACTGAATCCAAAGAGGACCTACATCTGGATGTGCTGTCTCTGTGTCAATCAACACAGGGTTGTGCAAAAATCCACTCAGCAGAAATCAGGAATGGTACCCACTGCCAAGGTGGACTTCTTTGCTATCTTTGGAGAGCGAGTCAAGAAAATTGGTCATTTGCTGGCAATGATGGCCCCTTGGAATGCGCCCGTCTACATCACTCGTGTCTGGTGCATTTTTGAGATCTTTACAGCTCACATCACAGATGGGTGCAAGATAGACATTGTCATGCCACCCAAGGAGAAGCTGTCTCTGGAGCAGGATGTTGTTGATACTGGAGGAGGCGTTAATGCACTTTATGAGACTCTTTGCAACACCAAAGTTGAAAAGGCCAATGCATCAGTGGACAGTGACAGGCTAGCTATTCTTGGCCAAGTAAAATCAGATGTTGGATACTCTGTGCTCAACAATTTAGTCAATGACTTGTTGCGTGGTTGGATACAAGGTGTCCTCACTCAGTTGGTGAGGGCTCGCGAAAACACCAACAATATGGACTATGTGTGTTTCTGCACTCAAATTGGGAAAATTCTGTTGCACAATGGAGAAAACGATTCGGCCATGGAACTCCACCAGAATGCTCTGACAATTTGTGAGACTGTTTTGGGCAAGAACCATGAAAGAACAGCAGACACCCACAGCGACATTGGTGCTGTTTTATATAAGATGGGTGACTGTGAAGGTGCACTATCAAAGTACAAGGAAGCACTTGACATTAGATTGTCACGGTTTGACAAAAATCATTGTGATGTTGCGTTGGCCTACAACGACATGGGGCTTGTACTCAATGATATGGGTGACTATGAAGGTGCTTTGACCAAGTACAACGAAGCTCTGGCCATTCAAAAGTCCGTATTGGGCGAAGAACATAAAGAGGTGGCAACCAGCTACAACAACCTGGGAATTGTCCTCGGGAGTATGGGTGACTATGCAGGTTCTTTGGAAAAACACAAGGAAGCTCTTGCCATTCTAATGTCAGCATTGGGCAAGAATCATCCTCGTGTGGCTTTTGCCTACAATGGTATTGGTTCTGCCCTGCATGGTTTGGGTGAATATGAAGGTGCTTTGCGCAAGCACAAACAAGCTCTTGCCATTAGATTGCTAGCATTGGGCAAGAATCATTCTCTAGTGGCATCCAGTTGCATCAACATTGGTTCGGCCCTTTCCAGCATGGGTGACTATGAAGGTGCTTTGTCAAATTATGAGGAAGCTCTTGCCATCAAATTGTCAGCATTGGGGAAGAATCATCCTGATGTGGCAACTACCTACGTCAACATTGGGCGTGTTCTGGATGAGATGGGCAACTATGAAGGTGCTTTGGCAAAGTATGAGGAAGGTCTTGCCATAGGCCTGTCAGCGTTGGGCAAGAATCATCCCTTCGTGGCAATCACCTACAACAGTATTGGGGATGTGCTGTGTGCCAAGGCTGACTATGAACGAGCTTTGGCAAAGCACAAAGAGGCTCTTGCCATTCAATTGTCTGCCTTGGGCAAGAATCATCCTGGTGTGGCAGGCAGCTACAGCTGTATTGGGACTGTTCTGCAATTAATGGGCGACTATGAAGGTGCTTTGACAGAGTACGAGAAAGCTCTTGCCATTTCACTGTCAGCATTGGGCAAGAATCATCCTAATGTGGCAGCCGCCTACGACAATATTGGTGCTGTATTGGCTTTCATGGGTAACCATTCTGGGGCCTTGTTGAAATTTGAGGAGAGCCTTGCCATCTGGGAGCCCCTACTGGGGGCAGATCATCCCAACACCAAGGATTGCCTGGAATGGATAGAAGACTCTAAAAAAGAGTTGCAAAAGCAGTCACTTGTGCCTGAACTACTGCACGGGAAAAGTTTAGATTGAGGATTGGTGAACTTGCAAGTAGGACTGAAGTTTCTTGGAGAAGAGAGCACATAAAAGTGGGAAATAAAGGATACAGAGTAGTACAACTGAATCAGGAGTAACATACTCCCACAACTAAACATCTGTGTTGAAACAAACTCCATTCCCAATGCCATTGCCGTTGCCAAGGCTGCACGAGCCAGCCAAGTTTGTCGATGCGACCTGTGGTCAGGATGGACAAATCTCACACCACTCACGGTGACGGTATGCAGCATGTACCAGAAATGACACGAAAAATGGATCAGGGAGATCGACAAGCCAAGACGCAACGGCAACAATTTGGGTATACCAGCATTGCTTCCGCCTGCCTTCCAATCTCGACAAACCGCTCATCTTTCCTTTTCATCCAAAAAAATTCGGCAGTTTCGCTTCGAGAGGCCCCAACAGAGGCAGGAACTCACCACGAAGAGCCCTCGCGGATGCCTCGTGGCCTTGCTTCTCGATCTGCAGAGCCGCAAAATCCCTCATCAGTCTCTCCAAGCGACGGTTACACTTATTTCTTCAATTGCATGATCTTATCAATAATCAACTGCATGAGCTCTTCATTATTGGTTTGATCTGCCGGGAATCGGCAGCTAGACTAGCTTGGGCTATCACACTACAGATTTCCACAAGGCCTTCTGACATGTGTCGTCCTTGGAAAGGAGGAGGGCTACGCGGCAGACCTCCTTGGGATCAAATGGCTGCTTTGGATCCTGCAAGACTTGGGACAAGAATGTGGCACACTTTTCTTTGGGGTAATCCCTCTTCCACATGACACAGCGCTCCAGGACAGTTACAATGGCTTGTGTGTCTTCTGGGGTACGTTCCTTCTCTGGTTTGGCCATCAAGGGCTCCACAAGTCCTTTCAAGATTACCATGTCTGTTTGTCTCAGTCCATCTTCACAGCGGAGTTCCGCAAACCACGGGAGCAAAACATGATAGTTGCTGGCATTGACAGATGATTCTTCAGCGAACGGTGGTTGGAGAGCAATAACAGCCTTCTTCAGTAGATTCCATTCACTTGGTCTCTGTTTGGAAAAGTCAAACCTCTTCCTTTCGGGATTCTTTGTGAGCTCATCCTTGAAGTACCCACTCCACGAACAAAGAAAGTCACGCGACTCGTGGAACTCTTCCTCTCCTACGACAACCACGACGACAACAACATCATTGCCATTGTCATCAAGCGCAGCAGGCATACACTGTGTAGAAGAAGAATTCCCCATCTCGAGTTTTTGTTTTAGTTAGATGCTTGCCTTTGCCTCAAGTAACTTTTAAATTAGCTTCCAATGTCGCTGCAATTCGATCCGGGTTTTCAGGAGATCGCCAACGAGCGGTTCAGGACTACAAGAAAGTTGCTTGCTTCACGCCTCGAGCTCCTTACGATATCATAGGGGGTTGAAGCAAGGTCGTCGAAGACGGCAAATAATAAAGGCAGTCGGAGTCGAGTGCAGTCGTTCGAAGCTAAGGTAGGTGAAGTCGGATGAAGATGAGTATACTAATAGGAAACTACAATGTCAAGCAGCTCTTTTTCAAAATGGGTAGCTTGGATATGACGCGCGCCCCAAGTTATTGCTTTGCCACTCGTACTACGTGTCCCTATACCGTGCCATTTGAAGAACAACATGCTATTAGATTTTGACGTGAGGATATGGTCATACTTCAAAAGCACTCAGTAGCGTCGCATTAGCGCAATAGTGTGTGCATACTTTGGGCATCATCGCATCAGCGCTGCCATAGCATAGCTCTAAGATCTGTGCAGCTAGCTAGCTAGCCATGGAGGAACAAAGAAAGATTGAAGATTCCTTCCACGGCGAACCCGGCGAGCACCTCCATGTCGAGGATAATTTGGGATCAGAGCGAGGAAATATGGCTCGTTTTCCCGATGCACCTCTATGGTCCTCTATCATAAAATAAATCGTATCCGAGCAACTCTCCGTGGGTTGCTGTCTTGGGGTTCTTGCGTTAGAGCTGTGCATAGCTACTCTCCCTGTCCGCCCTAGCTATCCCACGTCTACTGCATGGTACTACAGAACTGACCTGTATTTTAAAAAGGCGATAATAACTACGTACAGATCCGAATGGGTGGTTCTCTCCATTGAGTCTTGATCAATACCGCAGAATAGAGACTCCTTCAAATAAGCGTATCCATGTGGTCCCTCCCTCAATCAGCACCGATAGCTCCCATTCCGAGAGTCTCGCACCATTCCCCTCGATCGCTCGACTCTCTACTGTATATAGCTGAAGTAAGTCTTGACCACCAAGAAAGGTTGGTGTTTTGATTTTTGGATCTTAGCCACGATCAACTCCCACGGGATACATTCAAACTTGAGTGGCGCGCTGGTTCCAACGGTTTTGGTGCGTGAAGAGACTTAAAGGAGCGTAGCCAACGGAGAATTCATTTAGACTCACTCGGCGAAGGTTTGACAGGCAGCCTCCAAAAGAAACAGGCTCTCAGAAAAAAGCAAAAACCAAAATGCGATTGGCGGTATCTACGAAAAGCAAACTCACACGGCAATGAAAGACAGAAGGAACCAAACTACTCGAGTACTATCTAGCTGGTAGTGCTGCCTCTTTGTGTGATTGCCAATAGGAAGAAAGTACAACATCAGCAACAGCAACAGCAACAGCATCAGCATCAGCAGTAAAGAGACTCTGGCCGAAGATACCTGAAGAGTGTGAAGGCCATCAACCAACCAAAACAAACTAACAACCAGATCATTGCTACCCTCTGCTACCCCTCTGCTACCCTTTGCTACCCTCTCTTACATATATGATCACCATGCCGCACGTCGATTTGCCGCAAGCGGAGTTCAAGGTCGTCTTATTGGGCGATTCGTTTACCGGCAAGACATCGTTGGTGCTTCGATTTGCCGAAGGCTATTACCGCGAATCGGCGCGAAGTCCCACGGTGGGCGCCTTTTTCATTACCAAGCGGTTGACGATCCCCAGTAGCGGGCTGACGTGCAAGATTCAGATTTGGGATACCGCCGGTCAAGAACAGTTCAAACCGTTGGCGCCCATGTACTATCAGTCGGCAGCAGCGGCCATTCTCTGTTACGATCCAACATCGCCAAAGTCATTGGAGACACTCAAGTATTGGTTGGACGAACTTCATCGCAATGTGCCGGCAGGACGGATCGTCATTGCCATGGCCGCTTGCAAATGCGATCTCATTGCTCAACAATCATCCTCTGTACCATCTCCTACACAAGCAGGTCAATCCACACAAGATGGAGGATCGCCATTGCCACCGCCATCACAACAACCATCGCCGAACAAACTGCAAACGGCCGTGGCTGGATTGCAAGAAGTGGAAGACTTGGCGGCACACATGGGGGCCATTTTTGTACCGACATCTGCCAAACACAATGACAATGTCACGGAACTCTTTGCGCAAGTGGCTGAACGCGTCTTGCAGTTTCAAAAATCAAATGACATTCCCGTCACCATGGGAGGCACTCGATCTCGACCGTCGTCTCCTCTGTCGTCCTATCCACCACGGTCACCACCATCCTCGTCCTCGCCTCCCTACCACCCCCGTCCAATTTCCCCCAAAAGTCACAGCCATTACAGTCCCACGGCCAATAGTACGTCCCAACGATATTCCAGTACCAGTCTCCATTCCACCGCCACGGCACCCACCAGCAATATGAATCGAGAAGATTACCTACATCGACGCAATCATCATCATTCCTTGGATCTAGACAAGAACCACAATAGCGCCAATGCCGCTGCCACTGCCGCTCCTTCGTCTCCCTCTCGATTGGCATATACGGATCCCAATCGCATGAACGAAAGTCCCATTGTCATCCAAGCATCACCGCCGCCACCCATTACGCCCGAAGCAGGAGCATCTACTCAAACCAAGAATGGCCTTGTCATGTGTGGCGATGCCGATTATCTCAATTGTGCCATGTTACCCACCGACTTGTCCAATCACATGAGTCAATCCAGGTGTGTCATTTTGTAAAATGGGTAGTATACGGTACGGTACGTGACGGTACGTGACAAAATAGTACTACTAGTAGATATATATGGGAGCGCAAGAGAACGTGCGCAAGACACAATTCAGACAAAGGAATGAATGAATGAATGAATGAATGAATACAGTAGAAAACAGTAAAAACATCACAGTTTGGTAGTCATGTCATCAATCAATCTGTACCACTTCATCATGTATTGGACGGTTCCAGTGGCTCTAGCTAGCACCAGTTCCAACCAAACCAAACCAAGTGAGAGCTTTGAACAGACATTCACCCAACCTAGCAAAAAATTTCAGCCTTCCAATGTTCCTACTATCTATCTATCTATCTATCTATCTAGCCAGCCCCAATTCCACACCATCCACAGGCTCCATCATGACAAGCAACTTCTTTGTCAAGACCAGTTGCATGGAGACCCCAAGGCAGGCTTCATACAGGGAAGTAACATCTCACAAGACGAATGGACATTTCGTGAAGATGAGGAAGCACCTTTTTCAGTTTGAAGACAGCAGCGATGAGGATTGAAGACAGCAGCGATGAGGATAGGAACATATTCAAGAATAGGAGATACTCTAGTAGTAGGTAGTGAATCATCAAACTACTACCGGTACCGGTAGTAATCAAAATTCACGTTGGGGTCCCGAAATTAAGTTCACACCCTTCGGATCCCCGAACCTAACAACCAGTAATGCTGGCTTTTACTAATTCGCACGTTTCTTCCAATCGCCTTCCATCGCCACATCGCCACCTCGATCCACAATGAGCGGGCGGAGTTTGTCCAACCCGTACGACTGTAGTCTTGCGTAGAAGGAAAGAGAAAAGGGAAGAGACAGCAACAGCAAACATCAGGTTAAATTATTAGAATTGAATCAATTCACAATCATGAAGAGCCAAAGAACGACGAGACGGCGAATGAGTACAAGTATCCGATGGAATCTTGGTCGGGCCCATTTTTTATTGGCGGGTCTCTTGCTGCTGTGGAATAATAGCCAATGGCTCAATGGTGCGACTTGCAGCAGTCTGGATAGTGGCCTTTCCGCGTACATCAGCAGTGGTCTCCCCGTGGCGTGTGCAGCGCTGGATCGACGAAAAGCCAGATTACGTAGTACTAATACAGAAGGAGATGCTGTCGGAGTGAGCAATGGTACGGCAGATTTTAAGCAAGCAGAGAGCAAACGACAGCCCAAAACATTTGGTCAAATATTAGCCAAGGCTGGGCATAAGGCCGTGGGAGGGGGAATACCAGGAATGGTGGCAGGAGTTGTTCAGGTACGTAACATATAGATTTATTGCCTGTGCGTGCATTCTGAGACTTTCTATAGCTATTGGCATTTCTACATCTCTGATCCTCCACTTTTCCATATCCTGCTCATATAGGTCTTATCATTGATGTGGCTCCGCACAATCATCAACTATCAATGCAGGTGAGTACTACCCGATCCAGATGCCCTCCTTTCTGTCTTGAATTATATTATGGTCCTAATAATGCTCCTGCCAATCATCTACAAATCCACACACTATTACTTTTAAGATATGGCACCACTTTTCGAGAGGCGTGGGTGACGCTCTACAAAGATGGCGGGATTTCTCGATTCTACCAGGGCATGGGGTTTGCCCTCTTCCAAACACCCCTCAGTCGATTTGGAAGCACCGCCGCCAATGATGGTGTCGAGACATTCATGGCCGCCTTTACCAACTGGGGACCCGGACGGACCACCGTCGTGGCCAGTGTCGTTGTGGGGTTGTGGAGGATTGCCATTATGCCCTTGGACACGTTCAAAACTGTCCTCCAGGTGGATTCCGCCCAGGGATTTCATACGCTCTGGCGCAAAGTCAAAGCCGGCAATTTTGGTGTTCTCTATCAGGGAGCTGCTGCCATGGCATTGGCTGCCATGGCGGGACATTATCCATGGTAAGATTTTGTCTAGCTTGATTGCTATCTAGGCTCATGATATGCATGGAGCTCCTGATTTGAGTAACTCACCACCATTTCATCTCGTGCATGGTTGTAGGTTTTACACGTACAACGTCTTGTCGCAGAGCAGCATTATCCAACGTGCCGTTTCCAGCTCGCTCCTCCGAAACGCCTTTATTGGTGTCATAGCAAGTATTGTGAGTGATACGATCGTCAACTCGATACGAGTCGTCAAAACCATGAAGCAAACCATGGGATCCAAGCACCATGGAGGAATGGGGTACACCGAAACGATCCGGATCATTTTGGCTGCAGATGGATGGAAAGGTTTGTTTGGGCGTGGCCTGCAGACTCGAATATTTGCCAATGGATTACAATCACTAGTGTTCACAGTGATTTGGAGGGGTTTGGCGGATCATTGGAGGAGAAAAGCAGAAAATGGCAACGCCTAACTATGACCAACCACAAAAATTACCTGTATAAACTATGCCAACTACGCAGCATCCAACCAAACCAAGCCATTGTTCTCAACAGGGCAGCTACGGTGCCGAAAGTAAAACCAAATCTGCAATCTTCCAGCAGAAAATTGGCTACCTGTTCTGAACGAAGTCGGTTGCTGCTCTTGTCCTCTCTCTGTCTCAACCCTCGAGGGAACTCGACGTAGCGACAAGCCCAAGAGAATGTGTGCTCGAAACGAAAGAACAGAGTTAGTGTTCTCGACCTTTCGTTACTTGCCATCACGAGAAACTGGAGGATCCCAACTTTATTATGGTAGGTAGAGCTGTACCGGTAGGTCATCACACATGGATAGCTTAAATAATGAAAAATGAGATCACGGTACGGTGGGTGTGGGTTGCCAAGGAGCGAGAATGGGCAAGTTAGTTGCCTCCAAGACAAAAAGGAGGATGAGTTGCAAGGCAGCACGCAACCGGAACAAGGAGATGGTTGTATTACAGTCGACATTCAACCGTATTTTCAGATATTGAGTTTGCGGCAAAGGAGGCCCGGTATCTCGGGCTGCCCTTTATAGAGCGGATTTGGAGCTTGTGCGTTTGTGCCAGTGCAGGCATCGTATTAGTAGGAGGAAAAGACTCTAGCTAGCTAGTAGTACACTGCAGACTGTTTCTAACCTTCGAGAGCGCGAATCGAAGCTCAGATGGAAGCAGACAGTTCCAAAGTTCAATGTGTTTGCCGCACACGAGAGTATCTGCCCTCTGCCTCCCGTGCGTACCAGCTCCCGACCATGGTTGTGTCAGTGGAGCCACTAGTAGATTTCGTCGTCTGTGCACATCATTTCCCTTTTCATTTCCCTTTTCATGGTTACTGCACACCTCCACACTGTTCGTTCAGCCCCTTTGTACCTATCGTATACGTACCAGGTAGCACAATGCGAATAGCTCTGCAATACACACCCACAGAAAAGCAACATAGATGTCCTTCTACCTTTTATGAATCCGGTTACTATGATGTGGTTTGGGGATGGACTCGAGCTGCCGTGCACGGCAGTGCAGGGGCTCCCTTTTTCTGTGCATTTCCCCGTACCAGGTACCAGAGTACGAGCTACTAGCTAGTACCAATAGAAGGAATTCATCTTGCAGCAGATACCGTACTGGTACCTTCATAGCCGCAGGATCTTTGGCTCGTTTCTCTGCATTGGTTCATGTCAATGACGTGCAAGTATACTTATGGGCAACAACTTGTCTCGTGTGGGAGTGGGACTGAAGAACCTCTCTAATCCACCCGCCTCGATCAGCACTGCACGATCGATCCAGCAATGCTTTCATCTCCCAAATATATAACATTGTTCCTCACAAATACGCCAACACACACAACACAAAAGGAAATCTCAAATCCAAATACACCAACATCCATAAACAGATAGCTACAATAATTAATAAATGTGTGTCATCATCATGCCTGAACAGTTTTCCACCAAGGACATTATTCGTTTCTCCGCCGGCGTTACAGGATACCGCATTGTGCGGTTGTCAATAGAGCTCTTTCTGGTTGAACGAACCAGTGAGCTGCAACTGGCGGTCAGTCAGGCAGGACTTCTGTATCTTCTCTACAGTCTGGCCAATATCCTGACAGGAGTTGCCCTCTTCCATTTTCCCAACGCCATCTTTGCTGGTGCTGCCACAAAAAATGGAGCATTCATAGTTCCCGTACTTTCAGCAGGATCCATGACTGGGGGCCTTTTTGGCATGTTCCTTGCAGAATCCTTCAGTACTATGATCATTCCATCATTATTTTGCGGCTTTGGAACAGCTGCTTGGTTTATTTACTATCAAACTCTCACCAATTTGGCATTCCCCAAGTCTCAGCTGGGAACAGTTGCTCAGATGAGACAAGGATATGAGTGCTTGGGTTTCCTCCTGATCAGCATTAGTCTAGCTATGTTGGACTCATTATCCATGTCTGAAGCTTCTTCCTCCCCTGCTTCTGATGTGAATTCAATGAAAATGTCGATAGTACAACAGTCTGCAGTTGTCCTTGGTGTTCTTGCGGCAATCTTCCATCTTGTTAGTTTCCCGGTCATGTCCTCATATGCATCGATTCTGGTAGCCAGTGGCTCCGCTGCAGAAGATGAAGACCTAAAAGATGACATTGAAAAGCAAACACCAATTCGGGAATCCATTTGGGGTGCACTGCAGCAGTTTTTTGGTACTTCTGTCCGGCAGTACTTTGCGTTACGTTCAATTCTTGCAGCATTCTCGGCCATACTGTTAGGAACATCCTCACTAACCACAGAAGTCATCTTTGGTCTTCAGCCCAATTTTCTATGGATTACTGCTATTGGCTTTCCTCTGGGTGGCATCATCTCAGTTGGTTCAGGAATTCTTTTTGGGAGCTGGGTTCAAAGAGACCCAAATTCAACGGTTCGAGGCGGAACAACTGGGCTGCTTGTTACCCTCGTCTTGGTCATCATTATCCATCCCCTTGTATCTGTGGAGTTGAGTGTCCCATCTGCCAAGTTCTTTCTTTTCATTTTTGGGTTGACTGTTGGGATCATCTACAGTGGAACCTATGTGGCAGCAGTTGAACTTTGGTACTTGAGGCTCAAGGACTGTGATGTTTCCTTTGTATCAAGGGCATCTGCTTTGCACGAACTGGGATGTCAAGCTGTCATTGCTGGTGTCTTTCAGCTCCAAACAATTCTCATTGAAGAGACAGTAAGCAAAGGAGACCCCTCCAGACTGGTGGAAGGACTAGTCTTCTTTGGTCCAATGGCTGCGTTGTTGCTCATAGCGTACCTAGTGGCAATTTCTCTTCCTTTCCCCAAGGATCCCATCTTTGGATGGCCCATCAAAGATCCTTTTGGGGGTCGTTGTAACAGAATCACTATGGCAGCATTGGACAAGTTGGGGATTTGCCCCATTGCGATCAGTTCCTTTGCCTGCTTTTCTGACTATCGTACCTCCATGTTTGCGGAGGGTCACCTCTCCAGCCCCACCACCCAGGTCCAAAGGGGTCCACCTGTGGATCCTTCGGCCACACTATCTCCAGAATGTCTTCAACGGCAATTGCAAAAGTATGACGCAGAATACAGCACTACCAGCCAGGACACTTGGCACAGAAGCAAGGCCAATGTTGCCAATTTCACCACTGGTAACAAAGCCAATCTGGAGGAACGGTTGCGGTTGATTGGCAGTGCTCATTCTGAGATATGGATCACAACATGGACTTTTGAGGATTCCAAAAGTGGCAATCTCTTGTCGGATGCTCTTATTGCAAAAGCCCAGGCTGGTGTGGATGTGAGGGTTATTGTAGATGGCTGCAACCTTTTCTATCTCTATCACAAGGAGAAACTGACTCGTGCAACCCAAGAGACAAAAGTTCTGCACAAGTTGGTGAATGGTGGTGTTCAAGTGAAAATGCTTGATACCTGGTTTGAGGATAAGCAACCATCTTACGTGTGTGGTACACACCGCAAGATGATGCTGGTCGATGGCACTTTTCTCCTTACTGGGGGGCTCAACATCAGTGATGAGTACCTGCTTACTGATACCTTTCACTTCAAAGACGTTGATGTTACTCTTCAATCGAGCAGCTTTGCAGAAGGTACAAGGCAGTTGTATGAGACTCTTTGGAGCATGTCAAGAGAAGTTCCTTTCTATGCTTGTGACATTGACATCACAACAAATGGAGAGAAAACACTGTCTGATGCATGCAGTGATGATTACACTGAATCGTTACAAATCACACCCACGGAGACCCAGCCTCCAGAATCACCAAACAGGAGATTCTCTGATTCCCAGACCAGCGACCATCAACAAAGGCCACCTCATGACCTAGAAGCTCCAGCTTTTGGTAGCTATGTCCTCACTGCAACAAATGACCAGCAAATGAACTCAGCCAACGATTCAACATCTCCCATCAGCCTAAACAGCTGTCTAAACCGTGAAGTAGCTTTGTTCCAGTTGGATCACAAGGCAGGGAATCCAAAGGGCCAGGACATCATATTCTCCACTCTGTTCTTCTTGATTGAGACAGCTCAGGAGAGCGTTGAGTTAGTCTTTGGCTACTTTCAGCTCCTCCCTGGTCTAGAAGAGGCCATTGCAGGTGCCATTGCCAGAGGAGTCAAGGTCCGTCTCATTACCAACTCAGAAGAGACAAATGATATGACTTTTGAAAACCAGAGCTTTGGCCACGCATTGAGACGTGTGCTGGAACTCGGTGTAGAAGTTTACTTGCCGGCAAAGAAGAATGATGGCTCAGCCAATTACTGCCTCCATTACAAGATGGCCATCATTGATACCAAGGCAGTGCTGCTGGGATCCTGGAATTGCCTTGGTTTTTCCACCTTCCACGATGATGAGTTTTCTGTTGTGATGTTTGGCGGACAGACGAAAAGTACTGATGAAGGGGAGGTTAGGGCCTTGGGAAGTGCCCTGTTCGATTACTTTCTGGAATCCATTACAGAAGGAGATCTGGTTCGCGTTGAATCAATACCAGAGGACAGTTTTGTGGTCCTTTCCACTTTCGAGCATTTGCAACCAAGAATGCTGCTTGTCAAATGCAAAGGGGCTTTTAAGTACTTTGACTTATAGATTGATTTGAACTTGTACTCACAATCATTGCAGTAGACAATGCTGTTTCATCGGGGTAATCTGTTCTGGTTGGCTAAAAAGTTTAGAAGAATATAAGATGTCGGTGCTCTCACTGGCCAAGCTAGGCATTGCTTCTAACAGTTCTGAACTCAGAACAATGATTGGTGCATGCAAGGAGCTTGTCCCAATAGTGTTTGATCCCTAGCTTGCAGCATAGATTTGATGCACAGAGTGAGCTGATTCCCAATCAGACAAAACAAACCAACGCACAAGCAATCCCAGTAAAGGACGATGCAGATTACATCGAATGCATGAAACCATTCAGGAACTTTGTCAATGTATACTTCAGAGCAATTGAGTTCCCGTGTCTATCCAAATTATTCGATGATCCGTTCTTGTACCGATTCGATTCAGGCATGCTAATACACCCGACGTTGCATGGCGCGACGAAGGGCAAATATACCGGCATATGTGTCGTTGTCGTCCTGATGTACGATTTTGTGGGCTGCATCACCGTAAGCTGATAGGAAGAGTTCTAGTCATCCAACCGGGCAGCCGAGTGCCGAGAGTTCCGAACCACAGATGTTGCTGCCAAGGGAGTTGCAAGGGGTGGCGCGATACGGGACGTAATAAGGTACCGTGGTGACCCCGTACAAGTTGATGAACGTCATGGAGGATCTCTCGTATTCTCGGGATCAACCAATACATACAGTAGAACGAGAGTGGTTCGCCGCCAGTCGGCAAGCTCAATGGATTTCTTCCGATCCACGTCATCGGTCGATCGACTCAAATCGCTGAGGCGTGCAAACTGGGTTTTTCCTTGAATTCTTAAATTATGCCGTCCGTCCATGACGACAAGACAAGACGAATATAAAAAAAACGAGGATGTCAGCAGGCTTAAAAGAGGGCAGTGAGAACAGAGAACTTTTATCCCACAGCACCGTGATCATCTCTCAATGCAGACAAGCTACACCATTATTGGTATCGCAGGTACCTTTCTGATTGAAAGGTCTCTTGATCATCGCATCACCCATCCGCATGCACGATAGCCTTTCAATGATGCGATCCGATTCGATCATCAGATCCGCCAGTGCGCCTGCATGTTCAAGGATAGGGTGTAAGGTGGCTTTTTCATACTAGCTATTAGCTACCTGTCTAGCTAGTAGAGGAATAAATAAATAATGCTACTTTGGCACGTGTAAGATAGCGGTGCAAATCGCTCGAGGGCTTGATTCATGAAGGGGAAGGGAAGAGGGGAGTTATGTACTCCTGGCCACACACATGGGCCAATTGACCTGCAGGCGCGACAAAGTATACGTGAGACAACAGCAAGGCCAGGCGTGCACTTTTTCGCATGACTCACGTCTGTGGACAACTTACCGTTGGACCCAAGATTCCAAAACCCACCAAGATAAACTGGGGACCCCCAACATACCCATCACCTGCACCTGAACAGATGGAGAGAATACAGAAACTCGGGGAAGATGTCAGTGGCCAAATCAGGAAACTGGTGCGTACCAACAGCGACAGCAACAACAACCACAAGGAACGAAAAGGCAGCCATATGCTGCTGCTGCCGATCGCCCAGGAAAGACGGAAGAGGAAAGAAATGAAGGCATCATGGCGTAGACAATGAGTTGGAACCAAGGATAATGAGGAAGGAAAATTCCGCGACAGTGGGCTTCACCGAAAAATCCGGATAATAGGCGCCAAAGCAAGCATAGCTATCAGTCAGGCAATCACATCGAATTATTTATTTGGACAGGAATGGATGTGCATGGCCACGACAATGGGATGCTTGCTCCCACCAGTGAGAGTCACAATTTGGGAGACTACGCGAATTTTCTTTGTTGGAAATTGGTATTTGGGGTAGCCAAATGGGGTGTTTGCGAGCATGGATATCGGAGATGCAGTCAGAAAAATCTTCGCTGAAAACAGATCATCTCTTAAACATTACGTAGTACGACATTGCAGTTGCACCGTAGTACAGTTGATGTCGCCAAATTTAGGTTGGGCTTAGTTGTGGAGAGCAGAACGTTGTCAAGATGAGCGAAAATGCCCATCGCAAAAGCGATTTGCCTCGCAAAGTGCAACTATCGCTACCAGTCAATCGCCGAAGCAATCAGTTCTCGCAGAATCAAGGTACGGGGGCGCAACAATACATGGCAGCACCGCCATATCATTACGTTCACCAAGGACATCACCAGTGGAATGGCCCTCCCTATCACTCGTACCATGGCATGCCGAACACCAGTTATCTGGGGCAAGCCATGCACTATCCACAGCCGTACTCGTACTCGTATCCGTACTATGGAAATGGGAGTTACGTACCAGCTCCCACTCGTTACCACCAGCAAGCAGTACCAAAGACAAAACATACCAGGCAAACTGCTGCAACCGGAGATTACATGGAAGACCCAAAATGCTTTGCATGCACTACAAAAGAAGATGCAAAAGCACAGATATTTGATGAGTATGGTGGATTCTATAATGGCAAGCAATGCCTTATGGCAGATGGAACCTACAAGCAATCTGTAGGATTGTATTGCTACAAGTTTCGCTGTCGAGCAGTGGCATTGGATGGTTCATGGAAGTGTGACTGGAGAGGTCAAACTCGTGATCTTGGGGATGCAGTGCACCACAAGCAACGATTTCGAGTTTACGTTCGCAGGGGATTGAACACCCACAAGCATGCTCTCACCAAGAAACCCATCAAGCACAACCAGCAGTATGGGATGCCTGCAGCATTGTTGGCACTGACTAACAAGTTCGTTGCACAGGAGGTCGATAGAGGAAGATCAATCCTACGTATCACGGCTGATGAGCTGCTCAAGTCGGTCACAAACACAATCAGACATGACGAAGATGAAAAATTTGGCATGCATCGGCATCTTGTCAGTGGAAGAGAAGAACGAGACAGGCTGACACGACAGCTTCGAACACACATCGCTTACAAGAGAGAACAGTTCATAAAGCAGCAACTGTTTGGCTACTCGTCACTCACCACCAATGACAATCTTTTTCGTGTTCTCAGGTATTGGGCCCTCACCGTACCTATAAACTACGTGAAACGATGTGACTACCAGTCGCCAGAGCAACTTGCTACTGCTCTACAGTGTACTCCAGAACAGATGCTAGCCATTAATATCGCGAATGGTCCGCACTTGAAGCTGTACAAAGAAAAGGTAGCTTGTCACGAAGACCTTAAATCCATAGGCGATATCGAGACAAAGCTGGAAGGTGCTTTCGCCATCTTTTCTCCAACCGGACTCTTCCAATTGATGAACATTGCAAACAGAAGGAAGGGCACAAGACAAATCTGTTCTGATGGCACTGGTGGCATGATTCGCGACCAGAGCATTCTTATTACAGTTGGAGGCCTGTCGGTAAAGTTAAGAAGACAGGCGAAAAACGTCACAGCTTCATTCAGACCTATTCTGTACCTACGTGCTGGTGGAGAGAGATTCCACCCTTATTGCGTCACACTGTATGCCATGCGGTCCATTTGTTGGCTACTCTTTGGAGTGGAATTCAACATAGACTGGGGAGTGTCTGACAGCGCTGATACTTTCGTGTCTGCTCATGTCTTCTTCAAGCGCCATGCAGGCATATGTGACAGCTCAACAATGAGGAAGGCAATTCTTGCGAAGTCTACATCACAGGAAACGCTAGCTTCGAGTGTCGTAGAAACCCAACCTTCGAGTGTGGCTAATACATGCGTGACACCATACATGACCCAAGACTTTACTCAGGAAGACAGTGACTGTGACAGCGATGATGGCCAACTTGTGGAGGAAGCAGCACTCAATTGTTACTTCCACGTAATACAGGCCTTTGCTCAGAAGAAGGGCTACTACAAGAAGATCAAGTCGCGCGAATTTGCCATGACACGAAGAGAACGACCGAATGGTAACTTGCAAGGCACCGCATTTTCACATGTCTCGAATATCGCGAAGACCAAGACTATTGAGCAAAGACGGCAAGTCACAAGACTGTACATGGACAACTGGCGATTTCGTGGAGAGAACAGTGCAGCAGAACACTTCGAGAAAGAGTACTGTACCTATCCAAGGTACAATTGGAACTATACCAGCAGTGGAGAGTGTGGCGTTTACCCATCGAACTGTCCCAATGAAAGTTTCAATCGGCATGGAATAAAAAGTGTATGTGCCGACTGTGCAAAGAATGCTTCTTTGACGCACTTCCTTGTTCATACAGCAAGATCCTTACTCAAAGATGACACTCACTGTAGAAGCGACCCTGCCACAATTGAGTTCCCCAAGACGTGTTCTCCTCTCATGGTTGCGGTAACTGGCTTTATGCGAGAGGGAATCGATATCATTGAAATGGGTGGCGTAGATGCCTCTGGAACTGCAACTGGGTGGCTTGGGAATCTTCGACACAAGATTGGCATTCCCCTTGACCGGAGTCGCGTCAGAATGATCAATGCAGCCCTTGACGGGGACAGTAGACCATTTGCCAAGGTCGCCATGCAAGGGGCATCAGGCGATGTACTTGCGGATGCTATGGTTTCTGTCACTTCGAGTGTCTGCCATCTGCAATGGAAGGATGGTACCATAGCTGGCGACTGCGAGGATTGCATAAAGCACCTCGGTTTCAACTGTCCGTGTGCTACATTCCTTCGAAGCAAGTATGGGTTGCTCGAAAAGGAAGTTGTTGCTCTCAGGAAGACAAATGCTACTGCGAAGGGAACTGTTGTCAAGTCTCAGGGACGTGGCAACATCACACGAATGTATCAAAGTGGCTTGTCCAGCAATAAGAGACGGTGCCTCCCAAGGATGCTGGAGTCTTTAGAGAGCTACCTCGCAAGTTTGCAATACCAGCAGCTTGTAAATCTCATTCGATATTTATGGCTGTGTCCAAAAGGACAAGACGTTTCCCTTTACATGAAAGGCAAGAGCCAAGAGGACTTACTCGAAATCCTGGTAGCATTTTACGACAACACTCTAAGTTACAGGGAGATGCTGTTGAAGGGCACC